TGGGGGGGGGGGGAGTGGAGGTATAGCTCCTACTCTTTCTTGACCTCGACACTAGATGGGGTGAGTGGTCAGAATCACGCCCCGGCCGCTCTTTACCCCCCGGGAAAGGACCCCGGTACCCATTATATAGGGGGCTGGGTGGGCCTCAGAGCCGGTCTGGACGCAGAGCCTAGAGGAAGAATCCTCTGCCCCGTCGGGGATCGAACCCCAGTCGTCCAGCTAGTCACAATACTGACTGAGCTATTCCGGCACCCATAAGTTCAAAGACTCATTACTTATGAAACATTGGCAGAAGTGTCTACTTTAACAAGCGCACGTCTTCTCATAGCAAAAGTTTCAGATAATGGCAGGTATGTCGTTAGACCTAGTCACCAGTGTTAGGTGGGATTTACTGTCATACATAGAGAAATACACACACAACGTTGATGTTCACAGGCGCAACAACGCAACCGCGACCAACAACGGAAACCTCAACTTAGGCCAGTGGACATAAAGCTAAGTAATTCGATTTAGATAATACATCAACTCTTGTGAAATTAACGTCCAGTGTGGTATTATTTAAAGTATGGTTTTATAAACTACCACTTTTGTACTTTATAACAAACCATCGTCTTGTGAATTGTATGATTTAATATGAATTAATTTGTTTACCACAGATGATGACCTCTTGAGGTCGAAGTGTAAACAGTTTTGTTTATATGCATGATTTTATGCATTAATACACTTCACGGTATGCAAGGTTTTAAGATTAATTCAAGAAGTATTTAATTTTTCTATTTTGAAATATAGGCTAATAGTCATTCGGCAAGAAAGGGTAACGAAGATGTGTGAGATCCAAATCAACAATGTTTAAATATGGACCTACAAAAATAGTCACCTTTTATATGAACTCCTGCGTGCATTGTTATGTTACCTAAGAAACTAATTGTTAGTTATTTGTTTACTCTGCATGTTACCTAAGAAACCAACTGTTATGTTATCTGTTTATTCGGCATTTTTGTGTTTCATTACTGCCGTCAACAATCCGCTTTCGTTATTGCGGAAAGAGCTGAGCTGTGAATCGCTTGTAGAACAAGTGCGCCGTAGAGTAAATAATATTGTGCTGTTAAAAACGTTTTAGAACTTGAACAAAGTTTGAGGTAAGGGAATCCTATTTATAATTATTGTTCATCACATTTAATGTTTTCATCTGCATTTGTGAACTCGTGTAAGAGAATTAGGCTTGTAGGCAGTTTGTATTCTTAAGGTACCGAAGCCAAAGTTACAAGGCATTATTCCCACATCATGCGGCCCAACGCGTCGTTCAATCTCCGTTGAGGCTCACACGGTATAGAAATTGTTTTTAAGATTTTACATCGAGGTCGGAGTCGGTACTTCTTTACTGATTGCGACTCCACCTAAAATTGCATCCGACTCCACAGCCCTGTGGAGAAGTCCGGAAGAATTCCTGGAAAAGTCCTGGATAAGCCCTAAAGTAGTACCGGAGATGTCCGGGAGAGGTTATGCGGAATTTCTTTGGTCATGTAGAAGTGCTGGAGAAATCCTGCAGAAGTCCTGGAAGGTTATTTGGAATTCCTTGAGCGGTGGTGGTTTCGATCTTATGCGGATCGGTAATTTTGGATTCGTTTAAGTTTGATTGGGATAAGTAACATTGTATTAGGTAGCGTTGTGGGTTAGGTTGGGTTGGGTTACGTTTGGTTTGGTTTGGTTAGGTTAGGTTTGGTTTGGTTAGGTTAGGTTTGGTTTGGTTAGGTTAGGATAGGTTCAGTTAAGTTAGGTAAGTTATGGGTGCGCTATATAGGATTGTTGTTTAAAATGGGTTTGGTTGTTCTGGAGAATTTCTATTGTATTTATCGGGTGGTCGTTGAGACGTCCTAGGAAAGTCCTCGAGAATCCTGGGGAATTCGTGGAAAATTCTTGGAGAAATCGTGGAAAACTCCTAGAGTAGTTTCGGAGAAGTCCTGGAGACGTTTAGGGCAATTTTTTTGTCATGGAGAATTGCAAGAGAAATTCTGGGGAATTCCTATAAGATCATTTGAAAGTCCTTAAGCGGCGGTGGGTTCTACCCCATGCGGGTCGGTTATTTTGTATTTATTTAATTCAAGATTTATTAGGTTTTCTACTTTCAAATTTAGGCTAATATTAATTTTGACGTAAATACGTCTATACGGAAGAGTCATTCGGCAAAAAAGCGTAACGAAGATGTGTAAGATCCATATCAACAATGTTTAAATATGGACCTACAAAAATGGTCAGCTTTTATATGAACTGCTGCATGTATTATTATGTTACCTAAGAAACTAATTGTTTGTTATCTGTTTACTCGGCATGTTACCTAAAAAACTAACTGTTGTGTTATCTGTTTACTCGGCATGTTACCTAAGAAACTAACTGTTATGTCATCTGTTTATTCGGCATTGTTGTGTTTCATTACTGCCGTCAACAATCCGCTTTCGTTATTGCGGAAAGAGCTGAGCTGTGAATCGCTTGTAGACGAAGTGCGTCGTAGAGTAAATAATATTGTGCTGTTAAAAAAGTTTTAGAACTTGAACAAAGTTTGAGGTAAGGGATTCCTATTTATAATTATTGTTCATCACATTTAATATTTTCATCTGCATTTGTGAAATCGTGTAAGAGAATTAGGCTTGTAGACAGTTTGTATTATTAAGGTACCGGAGTCAAAGTTACAAGGCATTATTCCCACACCACGTGACCCAACGCGTCGTTGAATCTCCGTTGAGGCTCATACGGTATAGAAATTGTTTTTAAGATTTTACATCGAGGTCGGATTCGGTACATCTTTACTGACTCCGAAGCTACAGCCCTGTGGAGAAGTCCGGGAGAATTCCTGGAAAAGTCCTGGATAAGTCCTTAAGTAGTGCCGGAGATGTCCGGGAGAGTTTATGCGGAATTTCTTTTTCTCATGTAGAAGTGCTGGAGAAATCCTGCAGAAGTATTGGAAGGTTATTTGGAATTCCTTAAGCGGTGGTGGGTTTGATCCGATGCGGGTCGGTTATTTTGGATTCGTTTAACTTTGATTGGGATAAGTTACATTGTATTAGGTTGCGTTATGGATTAGGTTGGGTTGGTTTAGGTTTGGTTTGGTTTGGTTAGATTAGGTTTGGTTTGGTTAGGTTAAGATATGTTCAGTTAAGTTATGTAAGTTAAGGGTGCGTTATGTAAGGTTGTTGTTTTACGATGGGTTGGGTTGTCCTGGAGAATTTGTAAATATGGACCGACAACAATGGTCAGCTTTTATATGAACTCCTGCGTGCATTGTTATGTTACCTTAGAAACTAATTGTTAGTTATCTGTTTATTCGGCATTTTTGTGTTTCATTACTGCCGTCAACAATCCGCTTTCGTTATTATGGAAAGAGTTGAGCTGTGAATCGCTTGTAGACGAAGTGCGTCATAGAGTAGATAATTGTTTGTGCTGTTAAAAACGTTTTAGAACTTGAACAAAGTTTGAGGTAAGGGATTCCTATTTATAATTATTATTGTTCATCACATTTAATGTTTTCATCTGCATTTGTGAACTCGTGTAGGAGAATTAGGCTTGTAGGCAGTTTGTATTCTTAAGGTACCGGAGCCAAAGTTACAAGGCATTATTCCCACATCATGTGGCCCAACGCGACGTTGAATCTCCGTTAAGGCTCACACGGTATAGAAATTGTTTTTAAGATTTTACATCCAGGTCGGAGTCGTACATCTTTACTGATTGCGACTCCACCTAAAATTGCATCCGACTACACAGCCCTGTGGAGAAGTCCGGAAGAATTCCTGGAAAAGTCCTGGATAAGCCCTAAAGTAGTGCCGGAGATGTCCGGGAGAGGTTATGCGGAATTTATTTTTGGTCATGTAGAAGTGCTGGAGAAATCCTGCAGAAGTCCTGGAAGGTTATTTGGAATTCCTTAAGCGGTGGTGGGTTTGATCTTATGCGGATCGGTAATTTTGGATTCGTTTAAGTTCGATTGGGATAAGTTACATTGTATTAGGTAGCGTTGTGGGTTAGGTTGGGTTGGGTTGGGTTAGGTTTGGTTTGGTTTGGTTAGGTTAGGTTTGGTTTGGTTTGGTTAGGTTAGGATAGGTTCAGTTAAGTTAGGTAAGTTAAGGGTGCGTTAA